TTGTTATATCTAAATGACTGATATTAGAGCCAAGAAAAACAGGAAAATTGGAAATTGGTGTAAAAGGACCTCCCTTTTAACATATCATTTCCACTCAAAACAGGTACTGCTAACATGAACTTGTCCTTTGATTATTTTGCTTGTTACGTTCATTCCTCAGTCACATTATGTCAGAATAATTTTAATACTTGGACAGTAACAATGAATGCACCCAACAATAACAATATATTGTTGGCTTGCTGTCAAAATTACTATGATCTCATATAGATGAGACTTTCAGTTCCGATTACCATGGCTTATGAAAACACAGAGTCGGGTACTATTTTTGCTGGCTCCGTAGTCAGCTAGCAGCAGGCCTGTGGTTTTTTGGAAGGAGAGAACAGTGCGAAACTGTTCGAGTCATCGATAATTTGAAAGGTTGTCATGGCTTTAAACAGTCTGCTGCGTGAAGAGTGTTTGTTTAGCTGAGACAATTGAGAGAGGGAGAGAGAGAGAGAGAGTGAAAGAGACTTCTAAAGCAACAAAAAATGAAGTAAAACATGGGAGAAGGGTTAGGGTGGGTGAAAGTGTCCAGGCAGATGAACAGATAGACACATGAGCAGATATTTTGAAAAATCATTGTAAACATCAACCAAAATGATAAATCAGTTATATACTAGTACCGTACTTGGTATTTATACTAGTATTTGTAAGTGAGTACCAGTGGCGTGTGTCCTCCTCGGAGCAAATATACCTGGTCTAACTGACTTTTGGTGCAAAATAGTTCACACCTGTAAGAAAGCTCCCAGGAATCTGTGTGTTTTTTCAGTATTAGTTGTAATTTTCACAGGTGAGAGTATTTGTTGCAATAATAGATCTATGAAATGTAGTCATTTGCTAGCAACATTCCAACCCAATTTCCATCAGATTTACGAAACAGTTTGTGTGTATGTGTATCTGTGTATACACATGCCTTTGTACGTGCATGCATTTGTTTCTGTGTATGTATGCATATGTGTGTGTGTGTGTATGTGTGTGGTTTTCTGTATAAGATCAAAAATTGATCCTTTTCCTTTTAACTGCAATTATGTTACACGTATTTCATAACCTCATCATGTAAATCCCCCCATTTATCAGATCTGCTGATTCCTCCATCCCTCAAAGGATCTTAAAAATTACAATTAAGGACCCTTGAAAAAATTTTCCAGCTGCTACATGGGGAGAAATGGAAGTCAATGTACATGAGCATCATTTTGTGTGGAGCTAAACTCATCATATCCTTTGATCAGGTTTTGATTAGCAGCAGTAATATGTTGTCAGCATCATTTTATATCCATTGAAGAAGTGTCAAATTTCATTTAGAAACTTTTAGCAGATAGAAATTTGACATGTGTTGATTGGATCAAACCAGACTTTCAGATGGTTTTGGTTGAAACTAGGCCCTATAGTTGGCTTCCAGGCTCATAGTCAGAAATTTCAGAGTGGGTACTTATGAAAAAGTTAATCTTTTTATCTCCTGTGTTGACTCAACTTTAAAATGGCATAGCCAAAAGGGTGATTCTTTCAAACCACTGCACCTCCCCCCCCCTCCCCCCTGCCTCATGCCTATGAGCCTGGCCTGTTTTTGGACAGAACCATAACCTGATAGAAAAGCACATGCAATTCCATAATGCCGTGAATGGCAAACAAAACTTATTTGATCTTGCTATCAAGATTCATTACGATCCATTACACAAGTAATGTCTTCTGAAATGTTTGAAGTTCCTGGTAATGAAAGATTCAATTACTTTGTGTATTGCAGAGGAAAAATAGTCACAGGGCAATCAATAAGCTTAGATTGGGGAGGGGAGAGTGATAAGGCATGGAGTATGGTTCATATGTTGACTACACTTGCCACTGTTAAAAATCTTTTCATTTTAATTTTCTGCTGTAAAAATATTTTGCAGTTTTAAACTTAAAGGTTCAGAATTTTTAAGGGCTACATATATATAAATTCAGATACAATTAGTTGATCAAAGATACTATACTTATCATCAAAAATACTTCTTATTTTATGGAATTATATTTTAAGCGGGCACAACCAGTTTATCAGGTGGCATATCTGTGACAAGTTGATGTTTTAAAAGAAGTGGATGTCTTATGGTGTTCTGGTCCCGTTGACTGGTGTATGTTTCCCAGTGTCACATGGTAAAACACTTCATACACACATAAAAAAAATCACTGTACCAGGAGTGTCACTTCCAATTGCTCGTTTTCACAAGAATCAATGTGCTCAAGATCATGGGACTCTAAATAATTGGCTGAAAAATTGCTTTTCTGTCTGCTTTATTAGGAGAAAAAATAGCACATGAAAAAATAAGGTGAAAGCTAAAGTAATCTGAAAGGTCAGCTCTATTACAAAGTCAGGAGACATAGTCAAAGGTTTCCCATAGGAACCAAGACGGGATTGATGAAAGTTAACTCAAATACATTCACTGCATTGTTAATATTACTGTAAAGATAAATAAAGGACGGTTGATTGCATTACATTGTGCTGATACTCCCTTAGCCAATGCTAGATGTAATACAATCAACTTTCAGTTAGTGTAAGTTAAAAATTCCCCCATGACAGCTATGTATAGTGCTTTAAATAAGTTTACAAGCAGAAAAAAAGAAACCTAATGTCAAGGAAACAATCTCTTTCTCTGTGTTTAACATTTATGTCAGAATACTTGGGTGTGTTTCGCATGTTTGCTGTTGATTTTCACAGAGACTGGAATCGTGTATACTGTTATATGTCCCAGTGGCTGGAATTGTGTGTAAGTGTAATGTGTCCCAGTATTGCAGCCATGTTTATAATCTGTTAAACACGTGAACTCTGTTAACCTTTTTTTCAAAGATTTTTTTATCGTATGGCTAAATCAGAAGACTAATATAGAATGTAATTCATTTAACAGCTTTGACTTTTTCAGATGTATTTTATTATCAAAATTTAAAGTAATTTTTTACCTTTAGCATTAAAAAAATTAAAGTTAAAAAAGTAAATCAAAATTTAAAATTTGAACCATATCTGATAAAATTAAGTTGAGAATAATGCACACTGTAAAGTCAGCGTACAGTCTAGTCTGATAAGCTTCAAACCTAACATACATATAAAAAACCCAAGACTTGCGGGCAGTGAACCGGGCAGTAATTCAAAAGTTATTTGCCTCCCACTGGTTATCCATGTCGATATAATCAGTCTCATCTTGGCCACACAGGGAACTATGACTGTGCTGACCTCTACAGAATTTCCAAGGTCCTATTATTGAGAAAGTCCTATGGTTTTGGAAATGAACAAATTCCTAAGTGCCCAGATTTAAAAAAGGGACTGCACAGTTGATTGCTTTACATCATGCAGAGAGAAAAGCATAACTTATTGGCTTCCAAGGCTTTCAAGTTGAGAATGAGAATAATATTGAAAAAGTTTTTTTTTTTTATAAGGTATGCCGAATTTCACATCTTTAGCTAATGTGATTCAGCTTTATCGTTTTAAAAATCTCCTCATCTATTAGACAATTTATCAGATAAGCAGACGTCACATGCATGGCAACTTAAAACAGAACAGGCAGGCATCCATTGGGTCTGTAACTCAGGGTACACAGGGACAGACCTGCTACACTCCGAGCTTTATTTTTTTGTGCCCAGTGACCTTTTCACCTTCTCCACAACAGGTAATATATAGGGTTAATGGAGGTGTAATTGGCTGTAAGTGGACATGCAAAAACTACAGACAGACTGCTTTTATTGCAATTCAGGAGATTAACCTCCTATAATTACACAAACATGCTAGAGTTTTTCCCTGCTTTATCTCTATGGAGACTTTGGGAATCTGAGATAGTTTTCACTATACAAATGTGGTAAGACCCTTGTCAAGGCGAGTCATTTTGGTTGACAATAAAGCAACACGTTGACAGTCCTTTTAGCTTGTTTTGTGTTAACTGGACTACATGTATTTCAAATAACCTGTGTGCATGTTTTAGAAACTGTAGTCATATGCAACATGTTCAGTGTTTTAATTGTTGGATTTCAAAAAACACTTTTTTCTGTTCAGAGATAAAATGGATTCATATTTTATTAATTCAGCATGCTAATCCGTGGAATGAATACTGTGCATTAGGTAACATATTACATTAACCTCATATTACATTACATACAGTAATTTTATTTTCGTAAGAAACAAGGAAAGTCGATCACTGAAATTCTAACATGCCACATTTTAGAAAAATGACTATTATATAGTTATATAGCATAAATAATTGGAAGTGATACAGGCACTGATAGGCCCCCATTCCCCTGTGACCAGATTGATTAGATAATGAGGAATGCAGACTAGGTTGAAGGGGTCGTCAAGTGCAGACATCTTTAACATAAACTGCTTCACTGGGATTAGAAATGTTAAACCATTACCCAGTAATCTCTACCCTGGTGGGCTATAAATCTGGATTTTTTTTCTTTGTTTATTTGGAATGTGCTCTGTTTCATTTTTGGCTTCCTCCATTAAGTTGTGGATTGATTCCAAATTACTTTTCGGATACTCTGATTGTGCTGCCATCTTGTGGCATATAGAAACAAATGTGAGCAACAAAAGTCAACTAATGGCTGTAGATCAATTGTGCAATTTTGTTTTTGACTTTCAGAACACTTTTATGTTTTCTGTTGTAGTTTAGTGCTTTGATCAATAAGTTATTTAATTCTTCCATGCTTCAAGCATTTGTCAAGAATATTTGTATCTGGGTTCTGAAAAAATGTATCATGTATTAACTGTATATATATATATCACAGTAAAAGTTTTGATTCATCGAATTATATTATACTATGTTATGTTGTTTATTATATTAATTCTAATACTAGATCTTAAGTTGAAACAGAGATAAGGTTGAAACGTGTTCTCCGTTTCAACATTAGATCCAGTATTAGAATTGATTTTTTCATTATCTTTGAACTGCACCTAATTTATATAAACAGTCCTAATTTTTCTTTCCAAATTGCTGTATTTGCAGGTAACCATGAGATTAGCGCGTCCCTCATACGACATGGAGCCGACATTAATGGACAGGACTTTAAGGGGTGAATATGTTACAATTTATATCTGGAGAGATCACAGTTTGGTTAAATTTATCAGTTTCATTAGAATACCAAATTGTGTGTTTTATTATAAATTTCTCTTGGTAGGCAATGTGTTATATTCACAAGATAATTGGTGATGATATTAAGAACCATAGCAATGATTGATTTTATTGGGATAAAATAAATATTACTGATAATGGACCGATTTTAAAGAAAACATTCTCTTTCTTTAATTTTAGTAACACGGCTCTTCACATGGCCACATTTAATGGCAGATCAGACCTGGTGGACATGCTTCTGGCTGCGGGGGCCAAGGTGAGTATCTGGGGAGGGGATTTGGGGAGGGGGGCATTGCTAGAGGGGCACTAATTAATGAACAGAGAAATGGGCACAATCATTCACATTCAGTTGCAGATCAGACTTTGTGGATCTTAGAAGGCAAAATGGGATTGACATTAGGGAGAGAATTGACATTAGGGATGCGTTTGACATTGGGGAAGGGGATGGCATTAGGGAGAGAATTGACATTAGGGATGGGATTGATATAAGGGATGGAATTTGACATTATAGATCAGTATGATATTATGGGCGAGATTTGTTTTATAGGATAAAATTGACATTAGAGATGGGATTTATTATTATGGAGAAGGGAGGATGATTGAGAGTTTGAAAAGGTGTGCATTCGAGGTGGTATTGCTTATTCACTATATAAGAATGGGTTTGAAATGTTTCTATGGTGATTTCTGTCTTTATAGCACTTTCTACTTCTGCTCAGTTTTGGTAAATTTGCCTTGGTATAATGTACCATCTTGCTCTTGTTTAGTTTACAGTGGAAATAATGACATGGATTCTCCTTAAAATTGATCAACTGATATAAACATTGAAACTAAGTAAAAAAAAAAAAGGGACAGTTCCCAATACAAATCTGATGTACATGTATTCCCCTAAATATAACATCTCAAGTCAAAGTCAAGCCCATCAGCAACTAATTCAAAACTGCATGTTTCTCTAAACGCATCTGATGTGGAGGAGTTTAGTTTAATGCCCCATGCAGACATCATGGACAGATACAGGTGGATTTTATTGAAGTAAACGAGTACTAGGTAATGAAGGGAGGCAGATGGCCAGGAAGCCTTGGCTGGGTGCAGAATCTTAACTTGTTCAGAATCTTTTAAACTGGGGAATCCATCTTGCCTTGTTGGTGGATTAGGATAGGTGTTTAAGTTTTGTGTAATGTTTGAATTTATTTGAAATGTAGAAATTAGTATTTTGTCAATGTTGGAGATGATATTAGATTCACTTACCATGGAGAGTAAATACCTGACATTGGTACAATATTTGTCTCCCCTAACACACTCAAAATGTACACCACCTCTAATACAAGTTTCTATAACTTTTATTTGTTGTGGCAGGACACATATTTATTCTTCCTTTCTGAAAGCTTTAAGTTAACAAAACTGGCAACATTATAAGAAATAATCAAGACAAAAAAAGAAGCTGCATAGTTTGAAAATGAGTAAATTATCATACATGAACCTGGCTTCATCAGAAAGGCTGAATTATCAGGAAAGCTGAACTTTTAAAACCTGCATGTTTTAAGTATGCTGCCTGCCAGATCCACGTTGACTTCTTATGATTGGCTGCCACTTGACTTGACACCTTGACTAAATTGGTGATATATGGGCATTCGATGAAGGCTGTTTATCATTATGATTTTTAATTCGAATAGTTTGTTTTGTTTTACAGGTAGGTTTTGCTTTTATGTGTAGCAAAAATAGCCCCTGAGTCTCTAGAACCCCTAGATCTTAATTGAAATTTCTTAAGAAAATACTAAATATTTTGATATCTAATCATCTGGAAGGGTTTCACTTACTCGGGTGCATAAGTTCTTTTTGCACTTAAAGAAGATAAAAATCGTTTTAGTCTTTCAAGTGCAAGTACACTGTCCATATGACAGTCCGTCCAAAATAAAGACACAGGATTATTCAAGATTCTTCCCCTGAGTGTTGGTCAAGTGTTTTGTTTGGCTTGACCCTCTTAAAGTAAAGTAAACTATGTTTGGAATGAGTTTAAAACATGGACTTTTTCTTCAACACCCAAGACGAGTATTTTAGTACCTGTAAAAGTATTAGCAAGAATCTTAGCCTTACTGGTAGAATACCTGGCAAAAGTGGCCAAGGCGGACAAAGAAAAACCTTCCTTGACAATTCTGAATTACCAACAAGACACCTTTGGTCATGGGCGAGAAACAGAACCCTTTGGCAAAATATCATCATTCGTCAAATACTGCATCGGTGATGGCACATAAAGAAGAAGAAGAAAAAGTATTAGTAACATGGCAAAAAAAAAAACACCTGTCAGGAAGGTAGAAGTATTCTGAAAAATGATGTAATGCTTTTAGTTTTGTGTAGTCTAGGGTCTGGTGTTCTGGCCCTCTTCCACTTCCTCCTGTACACAGAGCTGTTGTACACGCTGAGGAAAGGTTAAAAGTTAAGACCTACTCGTTAACATTGCCTCAAACCATTAAAGCACTTCATGCATTGATATGGGCATCCCCTCTGATTTATTTTTTCCTGGAAAATAAATTCAGCAATTAACAGTTTCTTTAAAGGTCAGGCCCATTAAAAATATCCAGAAAAGGTACATCATCAGAGGCTCAGAGATTAAAAATATTATTTGTGTTCCTAAGTTTTTTCACATGGGTTAAAGGTTCAGAGACATCCTATCCTTGTACGTGCCTATTATGATGTTGTGCAAGGATGTTACATGTTCTTGCATTTCCGTCCTTGCTTCTTTTTCATTTCTGACTCATTGTTATACGCTTTATGGTTGTGTTCATATCAAGACCAACTTAGATCAAGAGTAGGCTAAATTACCTCACCAGTTTAAAGGTAATTACAAAAACAGACTTTGGCTTTTTCTCCCTCCAGACAAACTGTAGTGTTAAAATTTTATAATTTCAGATTTTGAGACTCTTCTGAATGTTTTTTTGTTCTTGTTTAAGGTCAACAAACTTAACCTAGATGGAAACACGCCCCTGCACATAGCCTGCCAGGCTTTCACACAAGGAAAATTGATGTTGATTCTGAAGATGCTGAAGGTAATAATAAATTGTAACAGGGAAGATGTAATTCCTGTGATTCATGCAGTCAATATTTCCCTTCTGTTTCAAAATTGTATTAAATAAATTTTTTAACTCAGTAGGACAGCAAATGGAAGTGTCTCAAAATTCTAAAACATTTTGAGGAGAAGTTCCAATTTTCCTGTCAAATCTATTTTTTCGATAAATTCGATAAATTAATTGACTGCAGAGCTCCAAACTAGATGTTGCATGTATCTGTAATAAAAAGCAGTATTGAAAAAGATAAATCTAAGATCTAGATGAAGATGGCTATGCGCAATAATTGCCATGTAGCAATGTTGAAAATTGTGGCTGATGTGACACTCAACTGCTGCAACTGAAAAAGAACCACTATCACACTACATCTGAATGTCTAATTTTTATGTTTCAGCATTTATTCTCTGTTTATTTATTGAAATTGTCAGTGTTCCTCTGTTTCTGAGTGTGCATTTTTTCCCCTCAGGCTGGTGCCAATCCTGTCATAAAGAACAAAGCTGGAGACACTGCCCTAGACATAACAGCCATGTTTAATAGGCAGGGTAAGGATCCCTCCCCCCTCTTTTTCTCCCTCCCTCCCTCTCTCTCTCTCTCTCTCTCTCTCTCATATCTGGGAGTAGAAGTCCATCCCTTCAATCATGCTTTTATATTTTGCCACATTGAATGTTTATTCATGATAATTTGTTTTGTAACTGCCACCCATATTGTTGAATGGGTTGTTTTCTTTACAATGCAAATGTCTGTGCAAAATTTACACAACAAAAACAGTGTATTTTTAAAAGACGTGTTGCTGTATAAATATTTAACATTTGATAAATTGACACAATTTTTATCCTTGTTAATTGTCCTGTCTTCAGAGGCTGCATCAGCACTTCTCGACCATGAGCCAAAACTGAAAGAGAACACATCTGCCATTGTTGGTGCCGCAATTAGAGGAAGTTCGGAAATTGTTCAACTTCTGCTTGACTATGGTGTAAACCCAAATGGCATCTGTATCAAACAGAGGACGCGGCCACTACACGAGGCTGTCAGATATGAAAGGTAGTCTAAGGGCCCATTCCTACTGAAACTGTTGGTCAACGTAGATCGATCCAACTCCAAAGGGGCTCTTGTTGAATGCAATCAGATAAACAGATTAACACACCTCCTATTGTAGCCAATCTACTTGTATAATCACCAGCTTTTCTGTATTCTTTACAAAGCTAAGAGGAGGCCTGTTCATCTGCAAAGCTGATTGCATTCAGTGAGAGTCCCCGCAGGGTTGGAATGATCTACGTAGACAGACAGTTTCTTTGGCAATGAGCCCTAAAAAGGCGACTATTATTACACCTATTGCCTATTGCAACAATAAAGAGAATGAATGAAGTTTGTCATTGGTTTACTCACACATGTATGCAGATTTTACACACTGTTTTTCCCTGCCAGTTGCTGTTGGGCCTAAACAGGAATTTTTACTGAAGAAGTTATGATGGGTTGATAAAAAAAATTCCAAATCCTGCCTGAAAATAACAAAGCATATTTACATCTTAATATATAAACTTCTATTGTGTAAGCTTATAAATATCTTGAATTACTTTCAGGTGGGAGACGGTAAAAATCCTACTGTCCTATGGTGCTGACCCCCTCATGCAGAATGACAAGGGACAGGTAAGCGATACGGCGGGGGACTTGCAGGCACAGATATTGGGATCAGTTAATATGTTATATTTTATTTTTTCTTTTATTTATTTGTTTGTTTATTTATTTTTGTGACAGGAGTTGAAGTATGTACCTGAGTTGATCGGTTCCAGTAAATCTAAAAGTTTTTTTTAATAATTTATATTTTAATTATCACATTTAAATAAATTGGAAATGGAAAGTTTAATCATTGATATTTTATCAGAAAACAATGGTGTCCAATATCTCTTTTCAGACTGCAGAAAGTATAGCCCTACAGTGCGGTAATGAAAAGGCTTCCAAGTTTATAAGCATGTTTAAAGGTAAGATCTCTAGAAAACTCTCCCAAAAATTATTGATATCACTAATGTTGGTGATGTTCATGATGGTGTTAATTGCAATTCAGCTGGTGGATGCACAGCATGCCGTCAAGGCAGTTAATTTTTAAAGTAACTATGGAACACTTTGCATGGGAAGTTATTTGTAAATCATGTTGTCAAGTAGGAACCTATTCATTTAGCACCAAGTATAAGGCCCAATATGCAATAGATAAAGTGCAAGTCACGGAGCTGTAGGAGAAAAAGAGAAGATAGCTGATGAGACAAATGGAGTCAGTTCTCTCCTCTGCTTCATGTAGCGCTTTGAGACTTTATCTGACTATTTCAACCATGGTCAGAGCAGAATACAGTAGACCCCACTACGCTCTGTACCATGTAGTGTTGTGACTTTACATGGGAAAGAGCACTGCATGGTCTGTTTTTGTGCTCGAACCATGGTTCAAGTTTGATGTGCACATTTCCTGTGGTACATAAGACTGGGTTCCCATACCTAGATTGATCTAGCAAGATCAATCCATTCCCATGGGATTTCTCACTAAATTGCTTTTAGCTTAAGCTGCTTAGATGTCTGGCACACCTACTAAAGCTGCTAAGCAATAATTAATTACCCCCAGCAGCTTCAGAAATCTTAGCCTCTTAAGTTGATTGCAATTTATTGAGAAAGATCAATCCACAATTAGTACAATAGAGTCTGGGAATGGTCCCTAAGTTCAGGTCATGGATGTTTTCCCAATTACTTGACCCTGTGAGAAGTCTACCATGCTGTTTAAACATATGATATCATGACACACACCAAGCATTAATATAAAATATCTGCAAAGATCCTTTTGGAGCAGATGTTAGTTTTAAGACTGGCAAAATGGCATATGTCGATGTGGTGCGAAAGGTGCTAATGCTCATGATTTTGTTCAGTCTGAATTCAGCCCTACCTCCAATTGTCCCAAACAACACTTGTCAACCAAATTATTTCAAAGATGGGAAAGCGATGTTCATGCTAGAGCTGCCTGTCATGACGGTAGGAAGTCCTGGAAACCAGAACATACCAGACATGGCTGCTTTGGAAAAGAAGGTCCATTATCAGGAGAAGCTTCTCAACTCCCAGGCAATCCTGGTAATGCAGCAGAAACAACAGCTAAGTCAGCAGGCTGCAAAAATTATAGAGATGGAGAAAATACTTCAGAAATTGGACTCGTTCATGCCCCCTGACGACTGTCAAGACTTGCTGGTGTCTGGAAAATCACCCCTCTCTGATTCACAGATCACAGCTTCTTCTTCCTTGGATGCTAACCATTACCCGCCACGTTCAAGACTATACACACTTGGTGACAGTAACACTAATAGGGGAAGCTGGCATGGTGCAAGTGTAGACATGAACCAGTGGCTCCAGTTTGACTTTGGGAGAGTGAGAAAAATAACAGCAGTGTTAACTAAAGGACGGAATGGCTATCCTTGTTTTGTCAGGGAATACCAGGTCCATTATGGGAACAACACGTTGTTAATGAGAGCTCCCCGTGATGGTAATGGAAAGATCAGGGTATGTTCACTAATCTATGACTTTTATATCATGAGTGAAAAGAAGATTTAAAAAGGAAATGATGATAAAAATTTTGGTATATAAAAATAAAATATTACATTTATTTAGAGAAATCATCACAAATTAGAGACAGAACAAGAACAAAACTTGATAAGTGATAAATCTTTGTGTTATTCATCTTTTCATTTCAGACATTCCAGGGCAACATAGATGAGGATACCATCCAGCAGAATGTCCTTGACACTCCTGTGTATGCCCGCTATCTGCGTATTAACCCAGTGTCCTGGTATCATCACATTTGTATGAGGGCAGACGTTCTGGGCTGTTGAAAAACACCAGAATGGAAAAAACAGCATGCAAATTAATGAGCATTTTTTGATGATGACAAACACATCTGAATGTTGTTTCCTAATAAAATTAATGCATCTTAGTTGCATTTTCTTGTACGTAACTCATGATGCTGGAATACACCTTGATAAGAAAAATATCTCCTGAATGTTTCATGAAAAATAGACACTGATAGACTTAAAAATCTAAGTCAGCATCTAAGTTTAGTAACAAGGGAGATATGATTGTTGTTACAACTTCTTGGTAACTGGCATTGTAAAGATAGGACCTACTTATTAGGAATGTAGAATTGACTACTGAATCAATATGTAAAAGATAAAGAAAACTTCACAACACTTTAAGAGAGAAAGAAAAGAGTTAGTTGATGAGACAGAGCTAGCCAGTTTTATCTTCTACATTATGTAAAGCTTTGAGATGAGTGCTTCATCTGACTTCATCCATAGTTTTAGCAAAAAGAAAATAAAGAAAAAAACAATTGTCTGCACTTGGGTTTGGAAGGCATCAGAATGTTTTGAGCATAGAAGCAGAATACAGCTTGATAATGTTAGATATGTCAACATATCCTCTGGCCTGAAACTTCAGGTCATGACATGTTTTCCCAACACACTTGACCATGTGATAAGTCTACCCTTCTGTTTAAACATCTGATATCATGTCACATGTAAAGCACTGATCTTTGATATCTGCCCATTAAAGGTCACTTTGGATCAGGTGCTAGTTTTAAGACTGGCAAAATGGCATACGTGGATGTGGTGCGAAAAGTACTGTTGCTCATGGTTTTGTTTGGTCTGACTTCCGCCTTATCTCAAATTGTCCCAAACAACACTTGCCAACCAAAGTATACCAAAGATGGGAAAGCGATGTTCATGCTAGAGCTGCCTGTCATGACTGCAGGAAGTCCTGAAAACCAGAACACACCAGACATGGCTGCTTTGGAAAAGAAGGTCCAAGGTCAAGAGACGCTTCTCAACTCCCAGGCAATCCTCATAATGCAGCAGAAACAACAGCTAAGTCAGCAGGCTGCAAAAATTACGGAAATGGAGAAAACACTTCAGAAATTGGGCTCGTTCGTACCCCCTGATGACTGTCGAGACTTGCTGGTGTCTGGAAAATCGCCCATATCTGATTCCCAGATCACCGCTTCTTCCGTTTGGAGTTCTGACTTTCCACCACCACATTCAAGACTGTACACACTTGGCGACAAAGACACTAACCAGGGAAGCTGGCATGGTGCAAGTAAGGACAAGAACCAATGGCTCCAGTTTGACTTTGGGAGAGTGAGAAAAATAACGGCGGTGTTAACTAAAGGACGGAATGGCTATGTATGTTTTGTCAGGGAATACCAGGTGCATTACGGGAACAACACGTTGATAATGAGTGCTCTTCTTGATGCTGATGGAAAGACCAAGGTATGTTGACTGAAACATGTTTTTAGTATTCCTAGTGACAATATATATATAAAAGTAAATATTAATAGAAGTTTTCATGGGAAAAGAGTACAAAATTGCAACATTTTTAAGAAACTATTTGACACAGAACAGAGAAAGACCAAAACAAAACACTGATGATAAAAAACTAAGGGAATCTTTGTCTATTTCATTTTTTCATTTCAGACCTTCCAAGGCAACATAGATGAGGATACCATCCAGCAGAATGTCCTTGACACTCCTGTGTATGCCCGCTATCTGCGTATTAACCCAGTGGCCTGGCATCATCACATCTGTATGAGGGCAGACGTTCTTGGCTGTTGAAAAATGCCAGTGTGAAAAAAAACAGCATGTCGTTGCAGATTAATGAACAATTTATTACCATGATGACACACATATCTTAATCTTAATGATCTTTTTAATAATTTTTTCTTAATTTCTTAATGATCAAATCTTATTCAAATATGTTATAATGATTTTATTTTACTTTCAATCAGCGATAATGTACCCTGAGTGTCAGAGCAACGTAAAAGCTAGCTTGCTAAATATACCTTGTGGTGGAGTCGCTTTTACTATGCTTTTACCTGGTATTGCTACTATGGGTTATATATGAAATCAAGATCGAGCTGGCAATACCGGAATCTAGAACCTAGGGTACGATAATGTTGACCATACTCCATGACCTAAATCAGATAGTATTTTATGAATACTCTGTTCAAAGCAGGCACTGTTAGGTGTTGACCTAAATTTTGCACATTTTTGCAATTCAGTTTAATAAATATATTGAGCTATATTGGTTACGTGAAGACAAAGGAGGGAATATAGTGCTCATTAACTAAGAATTTTGAATCAAATGTATTCTTCTGATCAAATGTATTCAAAGGATTATATATTTTAATAAGCTATTTAATAAGATATGTTGGATTTGATTAAATAAACATGACTCTTCATATGTGTAGTATGGGTTAAGATGATTCTTATATTTTTATAATGCCAATAATAATTCAAAGCTTGAAAATCAATTTTTAGAAATATACTTGAATCTTATTGAAAGAATAAAATGTGATTTAAAGCAGATAAGTCTTCTTATCTTGTCTGTTGTCTTTAAGTTTTATTGGGGGTTTTTATTGTGGGAAAATATAAACCATCCTTTCATTTTGGATGTTGTCGTCAAGATGTGAGGCTATCAGGTGATGATCTGGGAAAGTCCTGTCATGTCTTGTTTTAGTAACATTTCACTGATGAATCAGACTGTTCTATAAGTTTTGTAATAGAAAACAGAAGTGATTTGCCACAACTTCATGTTTCATCATGTCTTAAGGTGGAACTGAGCCTGGAATATGAGGCAAAACTAAATGTTTTCTTCACTTTTAAATTTTATGTTGACTTTCAATTAAAAATGGTTATGAACTATAAAAAGTCATAATGGTATTAAGTCTGTGGAGATTTTCTCTTTCAGAATAGGAAAACTGATCATACAAAATACAGTTTTTCTTATATCAGAACTGCTGTCTCATTCCTTGTGACTTAGATTTCATAATTATTTCTATTTTTTCTCCAGAGTATGAAAATCGACCAAAAGATACACCCAGATTTCTCAAGCTAGAAAATTTGCCACTAAGCCCTGTGGAAGAGGGTCTAGTTCCAAGTGAGTGTTTCTTCACAATTTATTAAAGTTTATTAATCAGTGTTTTGTTAATATTCACAAAATATATTAACTTTTACTGGAAGGGAAAATGGGATTATTATGTAAATATAAATACAGAGATATTTGGGAATTGTACAACATTGAAAAAACAGTAGAATTTTAAAGAAAAAAAAACAGATGTAGCAATTGAAAGTTGCAGGGAGTTGTGTTTATCTTCTTAGCTTCCATAACAGTAAAACTTCTTACTTATATATTTCATCTTAAAAAATCATTTCAGGATACCCATTACTTGACAACAAAATTTCATGGACCAGGAATACGGAAGAATACTGTAACAATTGCACGGCTCTCCACAACAACACAAACTTACTGGACAGTGAGTATGGGGCCATTCAGAATAGAGGATCCGAGTATCAACTGGTCCAAGACTCAAATATGGCGGACCCCACATGAAAGGAAGACATGCACGTGCATGCGTGCCTTTACAAGTTAATCCTCTAATGGTCTCGCTGCCTCTCACATGCCTCACCACGCATCTGGTCCAATGGAGCCGAGATTTATTGCTGCCCCTGCAGAGATGAAGCATGGATAGGTGTGTGAGAGGCGAAGAGACCATTACAGGATTAAGCGGTCTTCCATTCATGTAGATCTGCCATATTTAAGTTGTGGACCAGTTAGCGCTTGGAACTTCTCAATCTGAATGGGACCAATGAAACATCTGCTGTGTCACTGTAACCAAACAGAAAAATGAATACAAAAAATGACACATGATGATCTTATACCTTCGGTGC